GCTTTTTAATTCACTCACTCAGTCAAGCTTCAAATCTTACTCAAACATGCCGGAATCAATTAAACATAATTCTAAGTACATACATACGGTGAAAAGAACGTTGAGATTTGGAGATCATTTATTTGTCCCACAGTGGGTAGATTTCAATGTTGCATCACAAGTTACAGAGCAGCAGGAATGAGGAGCACACAACACAAGTCTATACTTAGAAAATACAATAAAATCTCCATCTTTAGCTTGATAAAGAAGCAACATATAAGATCACACATTCATTTCTATACATAAGAAATATATACTTGTGTTTTTACTGTACATTTGTAGCTGTTGATCTGTTCATATGTGTATGTTGCCTAGAATGAATAGAACATATAAGTCTATTGGGGTGTGCTGACTGAAAATAAAAAAGGGGGATTATTTGGATACTAACTTCTTGTAGATGAGGCAGAGTTGTTCTTCTTTTCATGGAAAGTATTACTGTTGTATTTGCTGGATTATTGTGATATTTTGTTGCATTACCATGAAAAGAGGGAACTAAAAGTAAAAAAATTAAAAAGAGAAATACCGATATAGTATTGCGTTAAAATATTCTGAAAGAATTGTCTATGTCTAAGACAAAACTCATGGGTAATGTTCTGTCCTTATTGTAGAGATACTATGCAAGCAGTGTATGAATTATATGTACATATTACATATTTTTAACCATTGCCAAAAGTGGACAAAAACTTTTTTTAATTCCAATACCAAATCTGTTGTTAATCGATCCAACCTGTCACAAATTAGACATGAGCCGGTAAACAGAGAGTGACACCATGATCTAAAACAAGAAATATTAAAATCATCAAACATACTGAATGATACAGTGTGCAGTGTGGAGGCAGTTTCTGTATTCTATGTGACCAAATGGTTGGTGTTGATCACGGCCAGTGCAGAGACACTCGCAGGTGATTCCATTGACACTAACGGGTCCATCACTGGGGGGATTGAGGAGAGCCCCTGATGCGCAGTCTGGAGAACTGTGCGTGTAGCTGTTAGTGAGCGTCTCCTCCCCTGTTTCTGCTGTGTTACAGCTTCTTTTTTTCTTTTTCCTTTTTTGCCTTTCGCTCATCTCTTGCCTCTTTGTGCATCAGTAGCGGGCAGCACCATGGAGTAAGACCACACACTCCTCCAGCGGCATCCCCACAACACCACACGCTCCTGTTTTTTGTGCCTTTCGCTCTGCTTCATTTCCATCTCGCCCTGGCCCGAGTGCGGTGGCGTGTGCGTCGCGTCCATTCACGCACGCCTACTCTCATGTGCACATCTGTTTGGCTCAGTCCAGGTATAGCTTTTGAGTAGAAATAGTTTGAAGATTTTATTCAAACGGGACAATTCGGACAGACAGTCGTTTCGTTTCTTATTTTACGCATCAGCAACCCGTAGCCAAAAGAGGAGGAAGCATCTTTTTTACTTGAGCGAGGCGTCGCCGTGGTGGAACATCGGTAAACGTAAAGAGGAAAGGGAAAGCTTTCGCAAGTTTGCTAATGTATAGTCAGTCAGTGAGAGAAGGACGCAAGACAGTCAGGGACCAGAGTGGATGAGCGACGCGTCATTGCCAAGACAGCAGCGCAACAAGCCATTACAGGAGAGCTGAGCGCGGTGTGCATGGACCAGGGGGTGTCTGTCCACGGTGACGGGTGCAAGAGGACAACGCCACGGTGAGTGCTGTGCTTCCTCAGTCCAGCTGCGATACACGGTGTTTGGGGTGTTTGGCACCGGTGTGCGCACCGACTGGACCATTACGTACGCGTTATTCTGGCCTCTGGGTCCTGGAACGTAGTGGCTTCAGAATGTATAGTTACTGTGTGTGTCATATCATATATCAGTGTTTGCCTTCGAGTGTGTTTCATTTCTATCTTTCTCACAGCAATAAGTTAATCTCCCGGGGCCATAACTTCCACTGAGCTGTCTCACAGAGAACTGCTGGTAAGAAATGCAGATTAGACAGAAGTAGCAGAAACAGTGCATGCCTATGCAAAAATGCTTACACTCCTGAATGAATTGCCACTTAATCCAGCTCAATCTGTCCCCTTTTTTCTTGTTTCAAAATGGAAGGCTGACAAGAATTGTCAAAGTCTACAGCATATTTTCTCTACCATAATCAGTGCCAGTGAGTCATTGAACAACCGTATGCAAACTCTCCAATCACAGACAAATGTGCTATCAAGTGTTGACGTTCTAAACGTCATGCTAGTGTCTTATGTTTGATGAAAAATGCTAATTGGGTTATGCTGGGAGGTGGAAGCTATCAAAAAGAGAACATCAAGATTTAATTTCACATCTGTCTGAGGACAGCGTGTTGTGAAAAAGTTTTAGTTTTTCACAACTAAAACAAATTGACAAGAAATCATAATTTGAGATGATCCATTCTTGTGTTTTCTCCCTAAGTTGGAAGGGCTTTCTTTGCCATAGAAACATCCCACTCAGATGTTGCTTGCCACATGATGTGCTTATTTTGTGCTATATATAAAATCCTGCATGTCAATTTGGCTCTTGTTATGAGTAAGGAAAGTGATTTGTCTTGTTTAAATCTTCCATGTCAACTGGCTTTTAACAGCACATGTGTAGCTGAGGCAAAGGGAAGGTCATACCCACTGCTTGTTATGAGTGAAGGCGCTCTCCATGGTGCTGATCTGCCTTGAACAACATTGCCAGAAAATTGTTTCGCCCTCAGTGTTCATTAAGCATGCTATTCATAACCAGGCATGATCAGTTCATTTGAATTTCCTTTTTATCACATGAAAACACTTTGATGGTGAAAAGAACAGTCCTCTTTTGCAGTCAGAGAAGATTGCTGCTCTTCACTGCTGCATGTCAATGAGAGCAAGTGCCTGCTCATAAGGCATTGTCAGATTTTTCTCGCTGTACCTATTTTTGAGATGGTCTTAATTATTAATTAGAAGGCACCACATTACGTTCGTAGCTTTCTGTGTTTTAGTGCTCTTATACGCTGGCGCAGATGTGTCTTCTGGGGAGGCACAGGCGCTACAGGGATGGCCATAGTGCTGCCAAGAAACCCTGAATGCATTTGAAGTAGTAGGACACTGTGACATTGCATTAGACATTAGCATTGGATGTTTAGACAACACACAGATCTTCAGTGGATTGTAAAACTATTATATAAATAGGTCTGTGCTGTACAGAAAACCAAGAGCAGCTCAGTTCTCATCATCTTCCTTGTTAGACGAATATGTTTGGACCTCTATCCAGCCCTACAGTACACAGAGTGGACTGAGTCACCGTTTTTCCAGTAATACAGGTGAAGAGAGTATAGCAGCTTTGGCGTTCACACAAAGAAACCATATCGTCTGTGGGAGTTAGATCAGGTTCTTTAACGTGATTTGTGAAATTGTTCAGTGTGTGGGCAAAATCATGTGAGACAATTTGGAGCATGTTATTCAGCCCAAAGCTTTGATATTTAACCATAAAATTTGTTTTAATGCGCTTAATCTTTAGACATTTTGTTTGTTTTCCACTTACTTCTATAATTATACTTCACATTATTTGGAGAAATTGAATTCACTTTGAATCAAATTGCTTCATAATCAAGAAAAGAAACATTAGAATAACAGTAAAATGATATATTATGACTGTATATTCCAACACATTTCAAAATCAAGCTTGTCTCACATTTTCAGGAATACATGTATGCAACTACTCACAGTTAAGGGGAGTGAGAGGATGATTGGTTGTTTACAATGCTTCAGATTTGACATAAGCTGCAGGAGTGACATAGGCAGAGGTAGTAACCATAGCAACCATAACATACATAACGGCTAAAGCTTATCTAATTTACACATTAATTATGGAATGAACTAGAAATATGGGACAACACCCTCACTCTGTAGAATGGATGTTTGCTTTTTGTGCGTAAATAGTCATTAGTCATTAGAACTCAGCATTACTTCCTGTATATTCGAGTCGTGACTCATGTAAAAGCACCAAAAGTCTCAAAGTGGGGTTAGAGTCATATTTCCCATAAACTTTAAAGCTTGTTTTGTGTGAGAGCCAAAATGGTTAAATTCCTGAAAAGTGTTTAATTTAAAGTTAAAAGTATAATAGCTTTTTGTTAAAAGGTCAATCAGATTATTATTATGTTAAAAACGGTTAAAACCCTTCAAAGTTTAAGTTAAACGGTTACAATTCTTGAGTTCAAGAAAGATTCTATAATGTTATAAGTTAGTAAATGTCATAATGATTAAAAACTGGAAAAGACAATTGCAAATATCAAAGTTTAAAAACAGGTAGAGCAGCTTTAAAATCAGAGACACTCCCATTATTTAGACTGCTCTGAGGTCATAGTTTGAGTTTGAGTTCAGGTGTGGGACCATGTGGGACCATGTGGGACCATGGGAGCACACAGATTTTCTACCTGCAAACTGTGGAAGACTGTAATGTTTATTTTTTCATTATTTTTTTATAAATGGACTTAAACGGATTCCTGGTCTCAGTGTCAGAAGAACTTTTGCACCTGGCTCACTGTGGCTGTCTTTAAATGAGCCATCACATTTTGTTTCATAATAATACATATTGTTTGCCCCAACAGAAAAAAAAGTCTTTATTTTTAACAAAGCAGACCTCAACAGTCTGTTTTAATCTTACTAGAAAACCTGTTATCTTTTGTATACTTGTCAGAATGAACCCTAAGAGTCCCTTTTTGACTTTTTAGGCTGAGAGCTGATTGGCCGATTGAGGGTGGTCCTATGTTTTTCACTTTTCAGTTTGAAAAAGCTGATCTAAAGATGTGAGGGAGGCCAAACATGAATTTAAGTGAAAAGCAGTGATTGAACCAAACTATGTTGAGCGTGAGGAACAACTAAAATTGATTTTATTCGTGTAAATAGTTCAATTTCTTGTGCTTTGAAAGTTACACGCACCTCAGCTTTAATGTTTCTTCTTGTATTTTTGTTTCCCATAGGCTGTAATGCTCAACCACATGTGAACACCAAGCTCGTCCAGCCACAATGTTGAAGCACAAGAGTTTCCTGAAATGCCCACTGCCCTCCATCCCGGGCATGCTCATTTCCATTCTACTGGTTCTTCTGCCTGGTGTCACACACTTATCCCAGGGCAGTGCCAGTCCCGACGACTCCGCCCATGCACCCAGGAACTGTTCCAGCGAAGACAACTGCTCTGAAGGGGTTGTGCTGCCTCTGTGGAACCCTCAAAACCCGGCCGTGGGTGATAAAGTTGCCCGTGCGATTGTTTATTTTGCTGCCCTTGTCTACATGTTCCTGGGTATGTCCATTATAGCAGATCGCTTCATGTCCGCCATCGAAGTCATCACCTCTCAAGAGAAGGAGATCACCATCAAAAAGCCAAACGGGGAGACAACCACAACCACGGTGCGCATCTGGAACGAAACTGTATCCAACTTGACTTTGATGGCTCTGGGTTCCTCCGCTCCAGAGATTCTTCTATCTGTCATTGAGGTTATCGGCCATGACTTTGAAGCAGGCTCACTGGGGCCCAGCACAATCGTGGGCAGCGCCGCGTTCAACATGTTCATTATCATTGCGATTTGTGTCTATGTGGTTCCAGAGAACGAGACCCGCAAGATAAAGCACCTGCGGGTGTTTTTTGTCACTGCAGCCTGGAGCATTTTTGCCTACATCTGGCTCTATATCATCCTGTCTGTTTCCACGCCGGGGGAGGTGGAGGTCTGGGAGGCAGTGCTCACCTTTCTCTTCTTCCCATTGTGTGTGTTGCAAGCGTGGATCGCAGATAGACGCCTGCTCTTCTACAAGTACGTCAACAAGAGGTACCGCGCCGACAAGAACCGTGGCATTATCATTGAGTCAGAAGGCGATGCCATGTTTACAAAAATGGATCTGGAGATGGACGGACAGGGGACAAACTCACACATTCATCCCAAAGAAGCTCTGGACGGGATGCTGGAAGGAGTGGAGGAGGGTGTGGGGAATAGCGCAGAGCAGGATCAAGAGGAAGAAGCCCGGAGAGAAATGGCTCGCACCCTGAAAGACCTGAAGCAAAGACACCCAGAGAAGGACATGGAGCAGCTGATTGAGATGGCAAACTATCAAGTTCTGGTGCAACAGCAGAAGAGCCGAGCCTTTTATCGTATTCAAGCCACACGCATGATGATCGGGGCGGGAAACATCTTGAAGAAGCATGCGGCGGACCAGGCCAGGAAAGTGGTGAGCTGTCACGAGGCGAGCGGTCAGGAGGAAGACCCCAACACCATCTACTTACAGTTTGATCCATCCGTCTATCAATGCTTCGAGAACTGTGGGTCCATGAAGCTGACGGTCAGCCGACATGGGGGAGAGAGCGGCTGCACTGTGAAGGCAAGTATAGTATATGCTCAAGATCATAGACGGTATGTATGAATGGCCATCCACTATGAAGCCTAATTGGGAAGTGCTCACGAACAAAGTTTTTCTCCAACTCGCTTTGGCTCCATGTCTCTTTGATTCCAGATATCATTCCTGACAAAATATCTGACGTTGGCAGAATTTGAGTTTAGCTTGAGAGTAGTGTGCGCAAGAACAGAGCAGCTCAACTCTGGATTTTTTTTTTTTTTTTTACTAGTTTGTTGCTACCCACAAATTTGATTTCTATAAATATAATATATAAATATAATGAATTCATAAATTCAACATAAATCATGTTATTAGTCTTTTTTGTTAAATATTTAACAAAGACTTGTTCACTTCACAGGTGGATTATCGTACAGAGGACGGCACTGCGAATGCTGGTTCTGACTATGAGTTTGCAGAGGGGACTTTGGTCTTCAAGCCCGGTGAGACAACCAAAGAGTTTACAGTGGGCGTGATAGATGATGATATCTTTGAAGAAGATGAGCATTTCTATGTTCGACTCAGTAACCCACGGATTGTCCACCGAGCTGAGGTCTCCCTACTCGAACCCAATTCCATTACTTCCAGCAACAGCATGGTGGGCATCTCCTCACACGTTCCTCCCAAAGCTGCCCTTGGGAAAGCCGACACTGCCACAGTCACCATATACGACGACGACCACGCAGGCATATTCACCTTCGAGAGCGACAACACCAGGGTGAGCGAGAGCGTGGGTAAAATGCAGGTGAAGGTCCATCGGACGTCTGGGGCGAGAGGGAAGGTAGCAGTGCCTTACCACACCATGGAAGGCACGGCCAAAGCTGGAGAGGACTACGAAGAGGTGTCAGGCAAACTGGAATTTCAGAACGACGAGACCATGTAAGTGACAGTAACATCTATTTGTCCTTTTCCGCGAGGTTTGTGTTGCATCGGATTTTTCACCGCCCACACACTGCTATAGTCTTTCTAGATTAGTGTTAGGTTTTTTATTCTGGTAATGAATGAAATGTCTATTTCTGTAAGGCACAGTTACATGCGCTTTTGAGAAGTTTAGAGCTTTCAGATGATGTGGGAGGGATGATGATATAATTGTGAGCCATGTAATGAAACGCTGCGCTTCATGCAAAAGAACAAGAGGGAGACATTGAAGGAGCTTTCTTTAGAGCAGTTCAGGCTTAACGCTCTGTCCCCAGGGATTCTTTGGGGTTATCTAGAATAGCCATTGAAATGCAGAGAAAGCAAAAACTCTGCAGCAAACACAGGAGGGGGGAGTGAAAATGAGAAAGGTGACTTAAACAAAGCACGCATGTATGTAGTGACAATTTTCTGGGGTTTCAGCAACACAGCCATATGCATTTTTTATAATGGCTGATGAATGGAACAGAATGTGCAACTTTAATAGCTTTCTATTTGGCAGAGAATGAATAAAAGCTGATTACACTTTGATTGTGCTGGCTATGCTGTTCAGGGTGTTTTATCCAACCACATTTGTGTTGTTTAAAGTTTACAGCTATATTAAATTACCCGCAAACGCTCATCGCAAAATGATTTAGAGGCGGCTGACAGAGAAAGCAAACACAATAGAAAATGAAATGAATTATGACTAAATAATGTGTGTCAGCTGAATCCATCTGTGAGCAGGACTCGAGGGCCTGTGAGTAGGTGGATGGTGTAGGTCTGTGTGTAGGAGGAGAGCCAGGTGAATACACTGTCAGAGAATCCACAACAGCCTCTTTTTGTCTTTTATTCTGTGGGCTTTTTGATATGTCGGTTTCTACACAAATCGCTTTGGTATGTGCTCATGTAAAGATGCACTGCTGGTGTCTCTCTCAAGCCGAGATCAAAGCAAATGTTGCTCCAGTGGGGAAGCGACATAAGAGTATCCAAAGTAATTAGAGAGAATGGAGAGGTTTAAAGTAGTCCCTAAAGCAGAAGCTGAAAGCCATGACACAAGTGCTATTCAAAATTGGAAAATAAAACCTGGAATCAAATATGAGAATGGTTGCCCCAAGTGGATCAGGTGGGATTCGAACATCTGGTCCAATGGCTTTTCTCCACTGGCAGGAGATGTACCACAGGCAGCGTATCCAACAGAGCAGGAAAGTCTTAGCACAGAGTCAGCTCTCATAATGGCAAACAGGTTATTAGTGCAGCTTTAAAGAGCAAAGAAACACCGGAAAAGTGTTGGAAAGAAGACATTTCCCAAGAGGACTTTGAAAATGGGTCAAAGTTTGACTCATCCTTTTGCGAGGTGCTGTCAGGAATATCAATGCATCTTTGATGCCTAAAAGAAAGCTACCTTTAGAGGAAGTCATTAGCATACTAAGTCTGTGATGAGAAAGATGGTATCAAATGTTTTCTCTTCTGTTATTTGAGTAAACTATTAACTCCATCCATTATCTCTGTTTCATCCACTGACAGGTCGCTGTGGCAGCAGTCTGAGCAGAGATGCCCAGACTTCCCTGTCCATGCACCCGCCATCTAAGACAGATGCCAAAGCAACTTCAGCCGGAACAGCGGCTCAACTCTGAGCTCCTCCCGAGCTCCGAGCTCTATCTCTAAGGGCTGTATTGGCATTCTAGTCTTTAGTGTCATTATCCAATGCTCATAACCATACGTGAGAGTAGAAACGTATATTGAGCGGTTAATTGTGAGCTCTGCCCTTTGACTCCGCATCAAACACATGCTGCGCTAATCCGTCTGTCAATCTCACGCTCCGTCCTTTACTCACTGAGAACAAGACCTGGTTAACTCTTCCTCTTGAGAAAGGAACTCTCACTCACCAGTCGAAAACCATGGCCATGGAGGCTCTTTCTTTTATGATAGCTGCCTCACACTCCTCTGCTGTCCCAGTCAACTCTTTTCAACCATACATCAAGACCATCAGTGTTAGTGCCAAATGTCATATCTTTAGACCTGTTGAGTTAGTGGTCCTTCTTGGATGTTCTGTGGTTTTCAAAAGTGGGGAGCCTTTGCATATTTTGTCATGTTTACAACCACAAATGGTTAGGAGACCACATCAACCAACTTTAAAAACAAAAGGCTCGAGAGAAAAAAAAGGCTGTCCTCTGCCCTTTGTCTACCACTACGTCGATGTCAGGTTGGTTCACCATTACTATTTGGTCGGTCTGTATCTGGAAGTCCCACAAGATCTTTGCACGCTCATTCTCCACCACCTTTGGAGAGTTTCCCATTTAGACCTGGGGGTTTCCAGCCCATACTCTGCACAGATGTTTCTGTACACTATGCCAGCCACTTGGTTATGACTTTCCATGGAGGCCTTCCCTGCCAGCCTCTTGCACCCTGCAGAGTGTATTGTTTCAGGTGCCTTTTTGCACAGTATAGAGGTCAGAGAGGAAGTTGTGTTGAGATTAATGCTTACCCAGCTTTGAACATCAGCACTGTTCAATTAATTTATTGTATGTATGGAAATACAATTATTGAAGCACCACTGCATAAGTAAGAAGCTGATCAAGGACAGGGAAGAGTGTTGATAGGAAGGTGGATGAAGCAAAATACAGGACTGGATGTTTACCCACCATCAGGACAATTTAACTTTACAATTACATGTGTGTAATTGTAATGTTAATGTTAATCAAAAGCTGAATTCAAAGTGGAAAGACCTCAAGTTGTTTTATAAGGACAGATGTGCAAAGCTCGAACAATCAAACCCTGAAAGACTTGCTGCTGTGATTGCAGCAAAGGAGGTTCCACAAAGTATTGTATATCCTGAAAGTATGAATACTTACCATTTCACAGTTGTCTGTTAAATTGTTGCTGTTGTTGTCTAAAAAAAAAAGTAGATTGTCATGTTTGCAGTCGTAAACATGACAAAAAGTGCAGGAGTTAAAGTTCTGTTTCGACAAAGCCACTGCACGTGTGAAGAAAAGCCCACATGTATTCTTCTCATGGGTTTGCACGCCTTTGACTCTGTTTGTCTCAGTACTTCTCAGCATGCAGAGCAGAGAGTCGGGAGCACGCCCAGAATTTTAGCTTTTGGCTTTTGACATGAAGTCAGGAAGAAAGTTTGAAAACCAAGCATGCATTTAAAAGAACCGTTCTGAGTTTGAAATCTCACTGGTTTGAGAAGTTACTAGAATGTCTTGTAGTTGGCGACAGCAGCTCCTCCTGCTATTGCTAATGATTGTCTCCAGGTTCTGGTGTTTGAGGGGGGATTAAAACATTTGTAATATACCAACTTCAGATAGGTAAAAGTGTGGCCATTGTTTTTGTAATTATAATTGTATTTTTGAGTGTAAATCATTGAACATGAATCCAAAATGCAAGGAAACGAATCTTGCATTCTGTTCCTTTAAATAATAATTTGCTTACTAAAATCTGCAGTGCAGCAAAGATGTGCCATTGTAAACTTGTGAAATACAATATACCGAGAAAATCACTGCTATACTTTGTCTGGGGATGGATACAGATACACAAACTCTTTTTGATGCATGTTGTGGTTTGCTCTTGGTGTTAGCACTTCCCAATGTAAAGCACTGTGGTCTAGCTGAAAGGGCTAATGGGCAGTACTAAAGCGCAACAATAAAATAGCTGTGAGAAGAGCCCAACAGAGAAATCAATAGTTTTCTCTGTTTTACACACTTGATATGGTCCTAACAGACTCACTGTAAAACCATAAACCCAATGTGCCAAGATATGTCAATAGTAAAACTTATAAACATCTTCCCTTCAGTTCATGAGGCAGGAACCATACATAATTACCTCCATTGTATCATTGCAAGCAATTACAAACAGGAATACAGAAAAAGAGATGAAGTCATGTTTGTATCAATAATCTATTACCCTCTCGCAATAATCTACACATACCACAGTGATGCGTGAAGCAGCAACCGAATAATATTCATATTTTATCAGCTGCAGATATGAAAGGCATTTTTCTTCATTTGTTGTATGTGTGCACATTTAGTCCCAGGAGGCCCCAGGACAAGACTCAAGCATTTGCACTTCTGTTAACAAGCCCCCCTAACTGAAGCGCTCAGTACTGCGGACCACTGCACTACATGCACAGCTGATCAGTCATATTTGGGCTGCTTCTCCGCTCCTTCGTTACGCTCTCAAACGGCCACAGCAGATCCCAGGATGCAGAGGATACAAAAGAGATAGAGCCGCACACACACAGCCGCTCAAACTTATACCTGGGGGCTTTTTGGATGCTCTAGACTTTCCGCTCTAATGTGGGAGGCAGAGTGCACACACGTATGTACAAGCAGCGCTGAAGGAAGAAACTACAAAAAAAATAAGTTCATGAGCAGGGTGAGAGAAGAGGCACTCTAACAGATTCCACACACTCAATATCACCTTTACCCAACTGAAACCCAACATGATAAGATAGTTTGCTAATAATGGCCAGTATAAAGCATGAACTGGCTTCTCATTGAGGAGGGACGCACATTGCTCCAGGTCCTTTACTGTGACAGATACAATAACACTGTTTGTTCCTCTGCCGAATCTCTCAGAAACCAATCCAAGTGAGAAAGCCCACAGGAATATAAAGATGGATGGCACCCAGAAAACAAACATGTGCAGCCGACGGGAGCGTGCTGTCCTAGTTGATCCATATGCTTATAGACTGTGCGGTAGTTAAAGTTGTTTTGCATGTACATTTCTGAAAAACAGGGAGATCTATGTTTATTACACTCTGTTGCCTTTTTCATTATGTTCACTTGACAGTTCTGTCAGGCCGGTTTTAATAGAGTCTCCATGGCTGTAGCAAGACAGACTTATTTTAGCCTCACGCTTTTTAGACAAGGGACAAAGCAGAAGCGCAGCAATCATTAAAAATCACACTATCGTTTGTATCTAAATAAAGTGGATTGGATTGATATCTACAGCTGAAACTAGACTTATAGTCAATCCATTAAAATACGGTTCAAAAGTTAGTTTATTTACTTAAAGTGTGAAACCAGTATATGATGTTGATTCATTATAGGCAAAGTGACCTATGTTTAGCCTTTGTTTGTTGCTTAATCTTTGTTTGATTTGGGTTTTTTACAGTTGTGATTCAATTATCAACATTATAACAAATACAGGCTTGTTGTATCTTTGTGAGTAATGAGTCATATATGTATTAGTTTCACGTTGAATTACTGAAGTAAATGGACTTTTGAACAATTTTCAAATTTCCAGAGTTTCATTCGTAATGTAGACACAGAAAAATATGTTTTACATTCACTTCTATAATAATTATGAATAATAATACATCGGTTTTTATATAGCGCTTTTCTGGACACTCAAAGACGCTTTACATGTCAGTATTCTTTCACTCCATACACGGTGGTGATGAACTACTACTGTAGCCACAGCTGCCCTGGGGCGCACTGACAGAAGCTAGGCAACCATTGTGTGCCATCGGCCCCTCCGACTACCACCAACCATTCACACACACACCAGACTCATTCTAGGCAATGGGGGTAAAGTGTCTTGCCTAAGGACACAACGGCAGTTTGGCACTTCACAGCCACAGCCGCCCCACTGTGGTATCAGGTGTTCCCAGAGGTTAAGTGTCTTGCCCAAGAACACAACGACAGCAGACAGTGGGAGTCGATAGTGAAAGTCTTGTCGAACCCACAACCTTCAGGCTCAAAGGCCAATGCTCTACCAACTGAGCTACTGTTGCCCCCTTCTCAAGTGAAACGTTATATTTTTCAACTTCTACTACATGCATAGATTAACCAGCAGAAAACACCGGCCTGTTTTGATGTATGGGGCCAATTGGGTTACTTGATAGTGTTTTAAGTTTAATACAACTTATTTTGTTAGCTTAGTTATTTTGTTATTTACATTTTAATAACATTTTGTCCCATCTCCTGAATATTAATGGCTCACTATATAGGAGCAGTGCTTTTAAGAGGACCCTAGTGGGAGTACATTCATTTTAATGGTCCAGTAGGGTTACTTGGCCTTGTTTGAATCATCTTATATGAAGCCTTTTAAACAGCATTCCTCTCCTGTGTTTCCACATTCCTCCACCTCCTTCATGGAGTGTAATTTTGCTATTCTGCTGACACCCCTTTAATATGTAATAGATGTCTAATCTGCCACGTTACAGCCGTGTCTCTTTTGCTGACAGCTCTTTAACATGTATTAGATGTCTTTATTGGCCCCAAAATGCAAATGTTGGGTTAATCCGTGGCAGCACTGTTCCTCGCCTATAACAATAAAACGCTGATGTGAATTACTGGGGATAAGCCAGAGTATATAGGGCCCTTTTTCAGTGTAACATTATCTGCTTTTTGTATGGGCCGAGTGTTTATAAAGTAAGTTTCCGTTGTTGAGGACTTTAGGCTATATGCAGCTCCCTTTGCTTATGACTCTGCCTGACATTAGACAGAAGATGACGTATCATTCATGTTGAAAATACACTGCTTTTTGTCCGCAAAGCTGAGTGTACACTGTATGCGTAGACAGAAATAGGCAGCCACCCACATATCATTAGGGAGATGGGAGAGATGGAGATGAGCATTTGGTGTGATGACTACATAAAGAAAAACCGGACCAATGTTTAAAGATGTTAGAAGTCATATTCATTTGCTGGTAGATAAGATACCCCGAAAACCCTGCAGTTGTTTTGTTCTCTCTCACTTTCTCTCTGTGCAAGGTATTATTTCCATTTGCCATCGGTTATAACCTGAGGTGCGTGGGTGGGGTGTGGGCTACTTCACTTAACTGTGGATTTTTCTCTGTCTAATAGGAGATGGTGCTGCAGCAGGAGGCCGCCCCCTTGTGGGAAAAGAGAACTTTTAGAGGAAATAATGGATTCATGTGGATGTGGGCTATTAAACACTTTATTGTGTAGGCAGAGTTTAGATGCCGGGGTGGTCTTTTTAAATGCAGTAGTTATTAGAATGAATGGAGAAATCTGAGAGGAAAATCTATATGTTTGTCTCACATTCTTCCCATTTTTGTCTCCAGGAAGTTGCTGAACGTGAAAATCATTGATGATGAAGAGTATGAGAAAAATAAGACGTTTATAATTGTGCTGGAGGAACCAATTTTGTTGGATGTTGGACAGAGGCACGGTGAGTATATTCCAGAGCCATGTCTCTAGATAGAGCTTCAACTCAATACAATATATTTATTATGAATTTGATACAGTTCTGTTTAATATAGACTTAGGCCCCGCACTTAATACTCAGCCCAATTTGAACAAAAATACTACAATAATTATGCATTTGTATTTCATGTATTATTTTTATTTTTTTCATATATATATATATTAAGTCTCATGTGTCTGTTTGCAATGTGTGGTCTATGATTAATACAATAAATATGTGGAAAAAATGAGACACAAAAAAAAGAAAATATTGTGTCCAATTCAAAAAGCTCAGTATTTATCTAAAAATAAATACCTACTGGTAAGCTGACTCTCATGACATACTGTAATGAAGATATCCAGTGCGAGCGGTAACCATATGAGTATCCAAACTTTTTCAATCATTTACTAAACATAACTCAACATTTGTCCTCAGAGAACAAATACAGTTAACTTTTCCAAATATCCTAAAATATTTGACTTTTTCATATAACTTTTATTTTGACAGATATTGTGTTGTGTCCACAGGAGACACAAATGACAACAAGACGGCGGTGGGGCCTGAGGACGTGTCAAAGATGGGCTGTCCCATCCTGGGGGAGCACACCAAGCTGGAGGTGGTGATCGAGGAGTCGTATGAATTCAAGGTACTGACATCAAACCAGCATCAACTGTTCAGGGCTGTGGTGTCAGCAACTCGCAGCTACATTCATGAATTATAAACACCTCTCACAAGTAACTGTAACTCTATTTTAAATTTAAATTTATTCTTTAGAAGTGTTTTTTATTCTTATTTTTATTACCTCTTTTTGACTGTTGCACTGAGCCAAAGCAATTTCCTAGTCTGTGACCTCCTGTTACTTACGTGGCAATAAAAATGATTCTGATTCTGATTCTGAAGTGAACGTCTTCGCAGTCAAAATATTTTGGATGGAAAATAATGTTAATATTTTATCAAACTAAGGGTTGATTTTTAGAGTAATGTTGTGACTCTTTTTAGGGTTTGTTGCCTCATCCGTGACATGTGTTACAAGTGGGAATAAATTACAAGAAATAGTGTCATCGTAAAACAACGAAATGCCAATGAAAGATTAATGCAAATTTGTTTTGTTGATGCTGTACTTCAGTAATCTCTAGAATTTCTACTTCAACACACATTAGTGAGTTGACTAAGTTGTGCATATGCTTAAAGTTTAAGTTCACTTGAATTTGTTTACTTTAAGCCTCAGAACTGAAAAATAGAGATACAGTAATAGCATTTTTTGGCGCTGGGTAAAAAAACAGTTGTTTTATCTGATGAACAGGCTTGCAAGTCCACAAATCTGACTTCATACTTGGTTGTTTCCATGGAAATGAAGCTCCTTTGGCTGTTCTCTTCCATAACATGGCATTAAACATGTGTATAATTCACCAGTTGTGTAATGTATCAACATGCAGTGCTTCCAGTTTTCCACCACCGTGATTCTGACATGTGTAGCTCAGATTTCACTGTTCAACTTGATCTTCACTGTAGAATAAAATAACATGACGGGTTTCTATATCTGGCTGTCAACAGAGCACTGTGGACAAACTCATCAAGAAGACCAACCTGGCTCTGGTGGTGGGCAGCAGCAGCTGGAGGGAGCAGTTTGTTAGTGCTGTGACTGTCAGCGCAGGTGAGGCCAGGCCCAAAACATCTCATCATTTCAGCCTCAGACTCGGCACCTGTGGAGTTCAGGAAGCACACAGCTGCTGCTTTTATTATCACTGTGATGTAATGGTTTTAGCTGAATAAATGTGATCTACATCCAACTGAGAAGACAGCAGATACTTGTTGATGATGCCTCGTTAACATTACAATAACAGATTCGGACAATATTCAAAGCTTTATTATATAGATGTAGTTGTTTTGAAGATCTTATTATTAGCTTGTAATTCATCAGATGCTTAAAATGTGCTACGTAAATAAATGTTTGATTTAGTTGTTATAAATGACTTCAAAACACCTGCATATATTTGCATGGTGTAACCTTTACCTTAACGGCGACAGTAGCTCAGTTGGTAGAAGCCAGAAGGTCGTGGGTTCGAGCCCACCTCAAGACTTTCACGATCAACTCCCACTGTCTGCTGTCGTTGTGTCCTTGGCAAGACACAGTGGGGCGGCTGCGGCTGTAAAGTGTCAAACTGCCGTTGTGTCCTTAGGCAAGATACTTCACCCCCATTGCCTAGAATGAGTCTGGTGTTTGTGTGATTCGTTGGTGGTGGTCGGAGGGGCCGATGGCACATACTGGCTACCTTGCTTCTGTCAGTGTGCCCCAGGGCAGCTGTGGCTACAGTAGTAGTTTATCACCACCGTGTATGGAGTGAATGAATAATGACATGTGAAGCGTCTTTGAGCGTCCAAAAAAGCGCTATATAAAACTAATTATTATTATTATTATTAAATGTTCCATAGTTTGGTATTAAACTGTTTGATCAGAAACAAGCAAGTGAAATTATAATGCTAACTCATGGTCATGTCTGCGAAGAGGGAAGAGGAGGAGAACTAATCTTTTTGAGCAGTAAAATCATGTATGATAAATTATTTCTATATATGATATTGAGGGACACACAAGGTAAGACAAGTAATGACACAGCAACAAGTGGCTTTAGGATTAATCATTTATTTATTTCAAACTTATCAGAAGAGCTACATGATTTGAGGCGGCAGTAGCTTGTTGGTAGAGTTGGTAGAGCGTTGGTAGAGCGTTGGCCTTTGAGCCAGAAGGTCGTGGGTTCAAGCCCCGCTCAAGACTTTCACTATCGACTCCCACTGACTACTGTCGTTGTGTTCTTGGCAAGACACTTAACCTCTGGGAACACCAGCCACAGTGGGGCGGCTGCGGCTGTAAAGTGCCAAACTGCCGTTGTGTCCTTAGGCAAGACACTTCACCCCCATTGCCTAGAATGAGTCTGGTGTGTGTGTGAATGGTTGGTGGTGGTCGGAGGGGCCGATGGCACATACTGGTTGCCTCGCTTCTGTCAGTGTGCCCCAGGGCAGCTGTGGCTACAGTAGTAGCTTATCACCACCGTGTATGGAGTGAATGAATAATGACACATGTGAAGCGTCTTTGAGTGTCCAAAAAAGCGCTATATAAAACCGATGCATTATTATTATTATTATTATGATGCCAAATACCAAATATAACAATGTCTACAGTCAAATGTATGCATATGTTTTTATTTTTTTATTTAAGAATAATAAAAATCAAAAAAGACAAACAACAGAAATATACTGTGAGCATAACAAAAGAACACAAAGCAAAGACAAACAAGGGACAAACAAAGACACCACAGAAAAACAAAAAAACAGATGAAAACATAAACACATGTGTGTATTTTAGTGGATATTTTAATACAAGCCTCAGTCTTTAAAAGTATAATCTGTTCCAATAATACGTCTTGTAAAGACCATGTTTCATGATGATCTGCTTTGTCCCTGTGTTTGTGCTGCATTTTCAATGAGAGAAGTAGTTTGTAAATGCAAATCACTAATAATAATTTAAAAAATACATTCATTCATCAATAATTGTGAGAGTTTAGTTTTTAGTTAGGTAGTCATCTTTAATTCTATACTGCATTTCTCAGACCAAGGTCACACACAGCACTGTATGGGTCTTTTCCATTTCCCCCGCGCGGTGATGTCAGAAGCGAGACTCCGAAAACCTGCCGCATTAAAGCCCTTTTAACCATTACAATTCCATTTCATTCTTCACATTCATTCCTATTCTCTGCTCCTTTAGTACGGGTGGATAATATTGACACAAAGGCATGTATCTCTATGTATAGTTTGTATATATTGAGAATAATAATCAATCAGACAATAATAGGACAATTATAATTATATTAATAGACAGATAGATAATTTCAACAAAATTTTTCAACATTTATCAACATTTGTGGACATAGGTCATCTGCCCCTTATGGACCAATGGCTCTGTGTGTTTGTCTTTTTAATCATTGCATTCTTGAGTTGGAACTGTTTGATTCTCGTATCTGTGGTTTGTAAAGTCCTACTACAACTGTTGTGATTCAGGGCTATACAAGAATACATTTAATTGAATTGAATTGAATAGACAATCCATGACAGTTGTGCTAGATCATTTGTCTAAATATTCCGGTTGAGGTTTGACATTTACAATAAGTGTTTATTCATGTTTGAAGATCACACCTGCAACTTAATTTCAGCCTTCAAACAATTACTCAACGTTGCTCAATGTTCAAATGTTGCATTATTTCATTTCATTTCATTTCATTTTCAACCCCTTTGTCCATTTCTGGGTCGGGGGGTGGCAATGAGAGCTGCCACCCAACGCTCATAGCACCAGTCCCTCGCTGATCTTCTGCAGGGGGTGAGTCCACAGTCTTGCCCAAGGACACAACGACAGCAGTCATCAGTGGGAGCAGTTGGAGTAGGTCCCATGGTGGGAATCGAACTCACGACCTCCAGGCCCAAAGGCCAATGCTCTACCAACTGAGCTACTGCCGCCCCTTAATGTTAATGTTGCATTATGTAATATCATATTTATAATAATAATGCATGGTTTTCATATAGCACAATTTTGGACACTGACAGAAGTGAGGTAACTGTGTGTGCCATCGGCCCCTCCAGCCAGCACCAACCATTCATGCATACACTAGACTTACTCTAGGCAATGTGGGTGATGTGTCTTGCCTGAGGACACAACAACATTTTGCCACTTTACAGCCACAGCCGCCCCACTGGCCACCTGGTGTTCCCTTAGGTCTCCCATCACTGTACTAACCAGTACTGTGTGCAATGCATTTGTTAGTTGCCATATCCATGTTTATACACACTATTACTTACTTGTCTGTCTATCACTGTAAAGATGGTGTTTCTGTATCTGCCCAGGCGACGACGATGAGGAGGAGAGTGGAGAGGAGCGTCTGCCCTCCTGCTTTGATTACATTATGCACTTCCTGACAGTTTTCTGGAAGGTGCTGTTTGCCTTCGTGCCGCCCACAGAGTACTGGAACGGCTGGGCTTGCTTCTTTGTGTCCATCTCTCTCATCGGCGTGCTCACCGCTGTCACGGGGGACTTGGCCTCACACTTCGGCTGCACCGTGGGGCTTAAAGACTCCGTCACGGCTGTGGTCTTTGTGGCCCTCGGCACCTCTGTCCCAGGTAAACACAGCCCTGACTCACTCTGACAAATAGAGGTGTAGATATGGCGACAAAACAGTCGCAGTGACACCTCTCAAACAACAACACTGACAAATATAGCTCTTATACACAACATGAAAACAAATACATGATGTTCTGTCTCTAAGGTTCAAAGTGAGGAGACGCAAATCTAATCAAATATGTTTACGTAAAGTTTTGTAGATAGACAGATAGATAGATAGATAGATACTTAATTTATCCCACAAGGTGGAATTCAAGTTCCCATCAACAGCCTTCATTACAGACAACACAGACAATAGACAGATACATAAAATCATGAACAGTTGACAGTGTTCATTGTACAATCTGACAGCAGCCGGGAAAAAAAGATCTCAGATTCAGATTCAGATTCAGTTTATTTGCCATTTGCAGTAAGAAAAAAACACATTGGAATTGGATGCAGGTGTTTTCATAGCATTAAAAAGAAAAAAGAAACTACTTTATTTTTATTTTGTGATCCATTTCAGTGAGTTCCATTTAATCCTTGATTGAAAAAAATATGTTTTCTCCTGTGGCTATAATTCACTGAAATGTGTTCATAACAATTGTTGAATGAAAGCTAGAGTACCTAACCTTTTTTTGTTTGTTTCATAAACACATTTTGTTTGTGCCAACAGAAGGTTTTAAGTAACATTTTGCTAACAAATCAGATTATAACATTCTTAATTCCTCTTATTTGAAAACATTGTACCTTCCACATACTGAGAGATGATAGGCTGAGTGACGGTGGTCTTCTCCTTTTCACTAAAGATGTGACTAATTAGATGAATGTGAAAACTAGTGAAGGAACCAAACCAATTTCAGATGTGGGCCGGTGTGGCAGCAGGTTTTTAATCCAATCAAGCAGGAGCACAGCCATTTCCTCAAGTGAGTCCAGTTTTAAGATAAGATAAACTTTATTGACCTCACAATGGAGAAATGTACATATGCGAAACTGCAATATCGAGAAATAATTGTGTGTAAAAGTGTGTATGTTATTATATTGACCTGCTGAAGACAGGAAGTGTTCAAACATGTTGAAAGGTTAAAATATAGTCTCCTTTGTGCAAGATATATTATGTACAAAAATTAAAGTGACTATAGCAGTGCGATTTAACCTGAAGACTTGAAGAAATGGATGTTGTCTGGTGTGCTCATGCTTGGTTGGAATGAAAACCTGCAGCCACACTGGCCCTTTCTTGAACCAAAAAAAGACAAACATTAATTCTTTCTAGTATCTAGTGCATTCCATAGATATTTCTCACAGTGCTCCGTGCCCTGCTTCACACTACACTTGACTGTGTCCTTCACTTCTGAAAGCATCATTTTGTGTTACTATGGCAGCGAGGCAATGGACTGCTAAGTGCAGCGTGGCATTTTGACAACCCCAAATTGGACCCATAGTGCCTTCTTTAATTTGACACATTAGCTAGGCTGCAAATTGAAATTAGAGGGCAATAGAAAGTCGTTTATTGCAATATGTAGTAAAAGGCCAGTTTTATCTTTGTCAGGCGCCTGCATTCATCAATATTTGAGTTGCTCATAGGAAAAACAAACACTGTCAGCCAGAGGTACGGCTCGTTCAATGTTTACTAATACCTTGAAAAACCTTGAAAAAACACATTCAATACGAATATTAAGCTAGAGTGGTTCTTCTTCACTGGGCGCGCTTGTCTCTTGCCACAGACACATTTGCAAGTAAAGTGGCCGCCATCCAGGACCAGTACGCGGACGCCTCCATCGGGAACGTGACTGGAAGCAACGCGGTGAACGTGTTCCTGGGCATCGGCGTGGCGTGGACCCTCGCCGCCGTCTATTGGAAGAGTAAGGGGAAGGCTTTCAAGGTGAACCCGGGTTCCTTGGCCTTCTCCGTCACGCTCTTCACCATCATGGCTCTGCTGTGCGTGGTGGTGCTGCTGTACCGCCGCCGTCCGGGGGTATCCGGGGGAGAGCTGGGTGGCCCACGGACTGCCAAGCTGGTCACCTTCTTCCTCTTCCTCTCCTTCTGGCTCATCTACATCCTCCTGTCGTCGCTGGAGGCTTACTGCCACGTGCCCGGCTTCTGAGACCCCACCCCAGCCCCCCAGCCCCCCTTTCCCCCTCTTCCCTCTGTTCACTCCTTTTTACAAACGTCTCTGTTTTTGTCTATTTTCACAAAGATTTTTAAATATTTATCAGAATCAGAATCAGAATCAGAATCATTTTTATTGCCACGTGAGTAACAAAGTTATCACTTGGAAATTGTTTTGGCAGAGAGCGTGCCACTTCGCCATTTGCGGCGCTGTGTGCAGCAAGAAACAGCAGAGAGCAATAACATACAGTTCACAAACAATTGGATAGACACATTGTGCTTTTTATAAACCACGGATTTTTTTCTCGGGAAGAGCACCTCTTCGGCCGGCCCAATGTAGCTGTCAGAGGGGGGCGGGATCAGGGAGGGGGTGAGTAGGAAAACAATAAGGAATGGAGGGGAGGGAGGGAGCAAGATGGATAGGTAGAGGGAGGCGGGGGTGGGGGATCCTTGCTGAAGACTGAAATAGTGTGAGTTGTTGTAGATTGTGGGACCTTGTTTATGGCCTTGGCTGAGGAATGTGAGATAAGAGTGGAGAGAGAAGCCACAGGAGGAGAAAAACACATCGCCTGCAATGTCGCAGTCAAAATCAGGCTGGTGAAGTCCCGTCCGGACACACGGGCTCTCCAGACCCACGCTTACGAGTTGAAAAGATAGAATCAATTGCGTTGAGGGACCAATTAATCATTTCCATTCTGTTAGAGTTGTCTGTGGCAAAGCTCCAGGAAAAAAGACAAAAACAGGAGATAGCAAGCCGTTCAGAAGCAGGAGCGGACTAAGACACGTCTTTGCTCGACGGAGGAGTGGTCTCTGGTTATTCGTGGTTATTCGAAACTACTACTGCACTACTGTTGACGTGACTTTCTATTCTTGGATTTTACAACCACTCACTATGCTGCGAAGGATAGCTTTAGCCACAATTTTTCTCTCTCTCTCTTTCTCTCTCTCGCACATTAAATCCTTTTGTACTTCTCATAGGATCATTATCTAGAATTATAATTACATACGTTGCAGATATGCAGTTTGAACAAAAGTCTCAAAAGGTAGTGCACGGGTTGGCATTTGAAAATAAGGCAGGCATAGTTGTTTTTGTGCATATTTATGATTCAATCTTGACGTTAATTAATTATTCATTGTATATTAGGGCTGTCTTGGTCGAAACGAAAGACGAGTCTAGTTGTCCTGCTTTCAAAAACGACTTATTCTGTATCTGACCCAAAGGGAACTCACAAGACTTTTGAAATTCAATTACGCTAAAAACGCATGAATACATTTGTGAATGGAGAATTTCATGTGGCTTGAATTTCAAAATCCTCAACTATTTTCTGCGTGGCTTCTGACTTGTGCAGTTTCCCCGTAGAAATCCTCGGAATTTTGACAAAATATTTAGAAACTATGAAACCAGATGGATCAAAATGACTATAGACTGACAGCCCTATTGTATATCATGTAAAAGATGAACATTGTGTGTGGAAGTTTTGTGAATGAGTAACCGTGTTTCTTTCTTTTGCACGTACCAAATGCGGAGTTCCTCTGTGATCTATTTCAAAGTGCTCTATGTAATATTTTGATCTGACGTGTTGGCGTGTTCCTGTACATGTTAACGGAGCTGTATTATTCCTTCACTGCCTGGTGCCCAGTCAAATCCACGTATAATGAGTTTGGTTGAGGACTGCTTTTTACAGACATGAGCACATTCTGGTCCGTTGTACAGTGACTTCTAGTTTCTTATTGCACATTATCCAGTGATTGATGTATAAAACGTGAGAGTGGTGTGTGTGCGTGTGTGTGTGTGTGTGTGTATGCCACTGCTCGTCAGCTCGTATCGATGGTGTGCTTTCCAGTCTGTTGTGGGCAGAAGACACAAATCAAACCAATCTCTTTCTCTCTCTGCGTTCTAAACAACAGAGAGGAGACGAGGATCCTTCCAACAGCACAATTCAAACGTCCACGAGCAGAACATAGATGTGCCAAAAGAGAAGATGTACAGTGTTAATGGATTTGTATGATATTTTTTTTATTTATTTAACTGAGATGTAGAGCCATATTTATTGTAATAGTACTAGAGTCAAGGTATTTATATGAGCTTTTCAATTTATGGATATGCACGTTTAATGTATGAAAAGTGGAAATAAATGTTGACAATGTTGTAAAAATGGACTCACATTGTTGTTCATGTGGAGCACTAGTCTTGGTATAATCTATCAGTCATCATTTGCAACGTTTTGCCGCAATGTTTGGTTCTAAAAGGGAAATACAGTCGATGTACTTCCCCACTGTGAGAATCTGTGGAACATTACAGGCACATCATAAAATATGCAAGCTGCTGTGATAATTAATTTTTCTCCGCGTATAATGCTCTCATGGATAAAGCAAATATTTAGGTACATGAAAAACTGGCTGACACTGCATACGTGGGTTGATTGGACCTTTGTAATTGCTCTCATAAAGTGGCACATAACGGCACAACACATTACCTTGGAAATGAGCTCCCCGCCGTGTGATAAGGAGCCTATTTTGTTCAGAGTTTGTGGGCTGTGCTCCTTCAGAACTGCAACATAAATAAGTGACTTTTTACCAAGTGCAGAAGTTTTAATGGTGCCAAGGTTTGCCCGAAAGGTCAATGCAGTGTGTGAAGCTTGTTGTGAGACAACAAAGCAAAGGCCCGGGAGCAGGTGGAGCAGCAAGAATATTGTCCTATGCCCTGTGGTCTCCCTCTGAAATGCAGCTGCAGCCTAAGTGAAGTAATCCAGTGTCTGTTACACAATGAAACTTTCCGTGCTCAAAACATGATGTAATTTTCTGCTAAGCAGTTTAGCTTAAGCGTCTTAGGATGCAGCCCGATGAAATGGAAAAAAGCATTTCAAAGCAAGCAGGAAAACAGCATCAATATTCATAGATGTGTTCCATTATAATTGTCTTTGTGGCAGTCATAAAATGCTGCAGTGCACGTGGAGAGGCATTTCTCAGATCTTTAGCTCATTTAGATGGCCTTAGATGGGGCTTTACTTTATATTTTATTGATACAACCCAAGCTGGGTGTCTATAAAGTCAATAGAGCTTGTGTCGTTGAAAGACAGTATACATGTATATAGAGTAAAATAGCATTGCTAATGAGGAATAGGTCTAAATTATGAAATGCCTTATTGATCCACACATCCAGTGCTTGTTCTCGCAGGGTCAGTGGCAGAGAAAGGGCTGCACATGCACAAAGCCCATTCACTGCGTTACTCAAAGATGCTTGGCGAAGGCAGAGCCGCTGACACAGGACACAGCAATTTGTCTGACAAGCAGGCCACCCTGCAGCCCGCGAGCACCAGAGACAGAGGCAGATTTATGAGCTACACTCAAGGCTGCGAATTATAGCGGCACATCTTCCAGGCAGCCAGGTCTCCAACCAAAACTACAAAATGGTGACTTCTAGATAAGAATTCACATAAAAGTGAATCATGTAAGGAATGAAGGGTGCTAACTCAAAACGTCATGTATTAAGTCACACTCTCAGTGAAGAGCATCTACACTTTTTGCTTCAGTAAAACGAAGACACGCCTAAAGATGTTTGAAGAGAAGCTTTGCTCAAAATGTTCCCACTGAGCTGAGCTTTAGAGCTGTGTGGATCAGGCAAAGTAACATGTCTCATTATCATTTTATTGCAGTTATTGTCCCTGTACAAACATTTCACATAATTTAGTAATCATGATACATCTCGTATGCAGCTGGAAGGAGAGATGTGAATCAGGCACAGCAGAAGTAAGACTTTGAGCTGAAGCAAATGACGATTATATGGGTTTTGTGCGTCGATAAAAGATGCACTCAGGACGACTGAACCACCGCTGTGTTACCAGGATCAACATCTGATGCTTTGATCAGAAGTTAATTGGTAAATGTGTTTTTGTTCAGTGTAGTCTTATGCTCATTTAAAAAATATTCCCCCCACTATTGTCTGCTGTACCAATAATAAAAGCATGCTTTAATATAAATAAGACATATACAAAATGTTCCCACATAAATGGTAAAATATTTCACATCCTGCTGTCCATCCACACCATCCACACATATCAATGAACTCACGCCTCACATTCCACAGTCAACTATCCACTATCCTTTTGTTGGTGTTATTCCCATTCCAGAGGATATGGTAGATCTGTTTTCCTGTAGTGTTGGGTACAATCCATGACATGCATTTTTACTTCCCTTACAAACTGGAGTGTGATGGCTGCTGTGAAAGAGTGAAAGTTGTTGCCACTCAAACATACAGTCGGTCATGTTTAACTAGTACTGCAGGAGAACATGATCATTTTGCAAGCAGAAATGTTGGGAATGTCTGCTCTTCTCAGCAGACATGAGAAAAAAGATAAAAGGAAATAATCGTATTAACCGAAAAAAAAAATGTGTGATTATTGGCTGCCATTCAATGTCATCATTCTGCACGAAGAGGAAAGGATTCTCTGGTCATGACAGCCATACAGCCCATCTTCGCCTCCAAATATACGCTTTCCAAACATAGCACACTGCCTCTATATGGTTGGTGCCTTTTGACAATTGATGGGAGAATTTTATTTTCAACAATAATGGATTCAAAGTCACTTTTTGGTGCTTTTTGTTTTCCAAAACTACTTTGTAGCATTTTTGTGGTATGCTTTTAATAATGGCCTGTTTCCACACGGAGTGGATATGACAGAGCAGAGGACGGTGATTTGCTTTCCTTTCAGCACCAACTATTCTGATGTTTGAGTGTCTGACTTCATTGCCAATTATTGGTATTCCTATTTGTATGGAGCAAAGATTCAGAATAAAATTGGAAAAAAATAAAATACAAATATGCCATTGGATTGAGAGCGTTTGTGTGTATGCGCGTGTGTGTGTGCATGTGTGTGTGCGTGAGTGCGTGTGCGAGTGGGGGGGGGGAGCTGTTTGTTTGCCACCACTGGCTCCAGCATGCACGTGCTGCGCGGGCTCGTCATGGGATGATGTCATCCTGATGAGACAATAGCG